TCTAGAATAAGGAAGCTGAATTTTGAAAAGGTCAGGTGACTTACATGTGGTTAGTAAGTAGCATAATTAATAATAAGATTCCCTGACTTTGAGAATAGTTGTCTTTTTGTCATCATATTTTGCTTCGGATTTATTTTGCCCTACCAAATTTCAGGGATATTTATTGCCATGCTGCTTTGTCTTATAGGGTATGCATTGAAACTACAGGTCCATCCTCTGTCACAAAATTAGTGAGTGCTGTGCATAATCATGGCTCTGTCTTACTAAGTAAAGGTCAGTTTATATTTTATATGCCATTTAAGAAGGCAAGAATGAAAGTATATTTTTATTTCTATACCCTTTCCCCTAAGTCTGTGTTCTTTCACTTAAAAGGATCAGCTCATAAATATCCAGATTTTAAGAATAATGTGACTTTGGGCAAGTGACTTAACCTGTCTTTGCCTTGGTTTTCTTATCTGAAAAATGAAGATGATGCTACTCATTTTATGGGGTTGTTGATTACTTAACTGCTTAGAGCAATGTTTGATGTTATATAAGTATTTGTTGTTAGACTTGTTAAAATAAATAAAGCAAAGTATAATTAAGTAGTATTTTCTAAACATTTTGTTACCCAAGCTGCTAGTTTCATTTAAACAGCTTCTTGACAACATAGAAGTAAATCTCAGCATTAAAGAATAGATGCCTCCCCTGTTCTTGTCTTGGGGTATCTTCAGTGTCCATTCACTAACATCGGTTTGCTGCCTCTTGTCATCTTCTTCCTGGTGTTAACTTTTACCTTGGTTTCTCTCTTTCCTTTAAATTCTTTACCCTTTTCCATTTGCCTCATTTCTGAGATCTTTAGGAGTAAATTTAGGTAAGCTCTACAAGTACTTTATTGGTGGAAGAGTTCCAGCAGTTTCTTCCTTTGTAGCCTAATAATTCTTATTTTGCTCAACAGATATTTATTGAACATCTTTCTGTACTCAAGATATTTTGGAATAAAAACTCAAAAGACTTGATTACCTAATTTTCAGTTGTAGCCATAGCAACTGAATTACAGGAAAGTTACTGTTAGCATTCCAACAGTGAGAAGAAATGTTGGAGATGAATAAACCTCTCTAAAGAAGTTTAGGGGCACCCCAGTATACTACAACCCCCTATACTTTTATCATGGTGTAGCACTATAATTGATCTTCATAATCATAAAATTTTATTGCCAGGACCTTTGAGGGCTATCTAATTTAGTTTTCTTGTTTTACAATTGATAAAATGACCCTGAAACACTGAGAACACATTAAGTTGTGTTCCATAGATTGTGTGTGAAAAGTTAGCCAAGTATGTATTATGTTTTAGAAAGCTAACTCTGCAAGCTATGTTTAGCTCCCATTCTAGCTGCTTCATTTTGTAAAATAACTATTTCCTAATGATATGAAATAAATGGGGGTGGGGGCACCAACATTGACATACTCACGTAGTTAAATTTTTGAGGAGTCAAAAGTTATATGTCACCTCTCCCAGGGTGATGGAGACGCAAAGGATTACTCAAAGCCCATTTCTCCAAAGCGATGAGAGGCTTGAAGGGGTTAATCCCAGGAGGGATTCCTTCAAGAGAGATTTCCTAGGAATGACCCCGAATCAGGTTTTCTCTCAGTTTTTATTGCCCAGGCAAAAAAGTTACAGAAAAGAACATAGGTGGTTCATCAGTCATAGTAGGAGGCAAAATAAGCTATGTGAAGTACAAAAAGAAATAATGAGATAATCGTCATGGCAACACTTAGTTCCCCAAGAAACTTAAAGAAACAGCTGAAGGCAAGATGAGGAACATCCCCCAACCATTAATCTTGAAGCTTTTAGCTCACGTACTTTCCCATCATTAGGTTTAGCTGCACCAAGGATGACTGCCCTTAGAGCAAGCACTTTTGCTGTGTTATAATTTTTTTTTATCTACAACAGAGACTTTAGTCCTGGGAAAGTTTTCTGTTTTTCCCAAGCTTAGCATTTCTATGTGTAATTCTAAAAAGTTAGGCTATTCCTAAAACCTACAGGGTTTTGGCCATGCTAAAACTAAGGACTGTGGCCCTGCTAAGCTACTATCTATGCTAAAGGCTTTGGCCCTACTAAAATCTAAGGACTGTGGTCCTATTAAGCTAAAGGTTAAGCCCCGTGAAATACATGTGCTTATTGATGTTAATATCCTCCACATTATACTCAGATTTTCACCACATGGGGGGGTCAGTCCCCCTAAGCTCCATGTTCAAGGGTCAACTGTTGTCCCATTCCATTGTATGGACAAACGGTCCCGATTTAAGATAATTCAATTTAAGATTTTTTAACTTTCCAATGGTACAAAAGTGATACCCATTCAGTCGAAACCATACTTCCAGTATTCATACAACCATTCTGTTTTTCACTTTCAGTACAATATTCAATAAATTATGAGATATTTAACACTATATTATAAAATAGCATTTGTGTTGGGTGATTTTGCCCAACTGTAGGCTAATGTAGTTGTTCTGAGCATGTTCAAGTTAGGCCATGCTAAGCTATGATGTTTGGTAGGTTGATTTATTAAATTCATTTTCAACTTATGATATTTTCAACATAGGATGGGTTTATATGGATGCACCCCCATCATAAGTTGAGGATCACCTGTATATATTACATTTTGTTTATTCATTCATCTGTCATGGACACTTGGGTTGCTTCCACCTTTTGGCTATTGTGAATAATGCTATTATAAATATAAGTGTACAAAATTTCTTTGAGTGCCTGCTTTCAATTCTTTTGGGTACATGCCCAGAAGTAAAATTGCTGGATCATATGGTAATTCTATTTTTAGTTTTTGAGGAACTGCTTGTACTGTTTTTCACAACAGCTATACAATTTTACCTTTCCACCAACAGTACACAAGGGTTCCAATTTCTCCACATCCTCATCAATATTTGTTGTTTGCTTTTTTTTTTTTTTTTTTTTTTTTTTTTTAGTGGCCATCCTAATGAGTGTGAGGTGGTATCTTTTTATGGTTTTGGTTTGCATTGTCCTAATGATTAGTGATGTTGAACATCTTTTCATGTGCTTGTTGGATATTTGTGTATCTTCTATCATGACTAGTTTTGATATATTTAGTTATTTATTATTTTTTTTTAAAGATGACCGGTAAGGGGATCTTAACCCTTGACTTGGTGTTGTCAACACCACGCTCACCCAGTGAGCAAACTGGCCATCCCTATATGGGATCCGAACCCGTGGCCTTGGTGTTATCAGCACCACACTCTCCCGAGTGAGCCACGGGCCGGCCCGATATATTTAGTTTTGATATCATGAGGATTATAATGTCTAATATAAGTAAAAGTAGTGGTTATGGTTCTGTTAACATTTTTTTCTGAAATCAACCAAAACGCCACTGAATAGGGAAAAAAAAAAGGTAGAACTTTTGGAGTTCTGTAGAGGAAATTAATTTGTAAAATTGCGATTCAATGTGTTCGGGACTTGCAGTGATTGTGGAATGTATATGTGGCTAGCATAAGGTCACAGCATTCAGTCAGTCATTGTTAGGGCCTTGAAAATAGTCCTGTTTGTTTAACCAGTCTCTTGTGTAGATATTTGTTAATCTTGGGCTGTTTACCAAAATAAGAGTTAGTTCAACCAAGAAATTAATATTTGGTAAAGTGGCTAGAATATAAATACATAAAATCAGTATTAAGTGTTACTCATTAAGATGTACTTCACAATAGCAGTCAAAATAAAGCATATGGCAAGAAACATGTAAGAGTTATTATGAGAACTGATATTTTAGTGAAGATTGGAATGATTGAGTGGACAAACCAGGTGCCTGGATAGAGAGACTTGATGGTGGTTAAATAATACATTGATAAGACAGTTCTTCTCAAATTAATACATTTAATATAATTTTAGTCAGTATTTTAACAACATTAATTTCTAAAGTTTATTTGGAATGTAAGAGATAATGAATCAAGACTATTCGAAAACTCTTCAAATTCTTGATCTGCTGTATAGAATAATACCTAGTATAAGATATAATAATAAACCTGGTGTTTATTTAGGAAGAAACAGACTAATGGAAAAGAATTGAGGACCTAGATATAGAACTGTCTATATATGGTGTTTAGTGTATCACTTCTAATTAGTTGGGAAAGAATGGATTTTTTTTTTTTTTTTAAAGATGACCGGTAAGGGGATCTTAACCCTTGACTTGGTGTTGTCAGCACCACACTGACCCAGTGAGCTAACCGGCCTCCCCTATATGGGATCCGAACCCGGGGCCTTGGTGTTATCAGCACCGCACTCTCCCGAGTGAGCCACGGGCCAGCCCGGATTTTTTAATTAGTAGTGGGATAATTATTGGTTATCTGTTTGGAAAAAGAAACTTTCTTGCAGTATATAATCAGATTCCAAATGGGTGAACATTTTAAATTTGAAAAAGTCACACAAATACTGTTAGTAAATATTTAATTTTAGTCTTATGACATTGAGGTTAGAAGCCAAAAAAAGAACAAAACCGATTACATGAAAGGAAAAACTTCTACAGAACAAAATATTTGATCAGCCTTTGTTAAAAAGACAAATTGCAAAAAGCTGCTCAGCAGTGAATTTTAACAGTTATTGTCAAAATAATTTAAATGCTGAAAAAAGAAAAGTGAAGTTTTTGATTTTCTTCTGCTTTGTTTTTGAAAATGTATAGATGGGGGGAGAATTTACAAATTTCATATATATATTTGTAATGTATTTTTTTTAAACTAAGGGTATATGTAAAAAATAGCCTCAGTTTCAAATGTATATTTTTCAAATGGGAGAATATGCCTTTGCATGAACAAAATAATGCACTTCTTTAAAAATTATGGCTATGAGGAATGTGTTCTTAAAGTAGATTGTTACCACCCCTAAAATATTAGTTATTTACTAAAATGGGCACAAATGCAAGGTTGATGCTAGAAGGTCACGCAGTGTTATATCTTTATAAATATTGTTAAGTCTGACTTCATATGTTTTATTTTGTTCAGTCAGGACAATTCAGTGAAGATATGATACCCACAGTGGGCTTCAACATGAGGAAAGTAACTAAAGGTAACGTCACAATAAAGGTACGTCAGTTTCTTGCCATACTTGATTTAAATTGCTAGCCTATACAGCTAGGAATTTTTCTCTTTGTTTCTTTGTTTTTACTTGAGTATTTGCAATTCTTAAGTAATGAACAAGCATGTTCCAGAAGAGTGTAAATCCATTGTTTTCTGTTTCTCTAATACATCAAAATATATGAGTTGAAATGTTAAGTGCCCATAAAAAACTTAGCATATGGGTTGGCAGAGGTAATATTTGGGATTTAGATGTTCCTAGGAAATAAAGATCCCATCTTTAGAGTATTTGGAATATGACATTACATTATTTCATGAATAATATTTTATATTGAAAGGTAATAATTTATTATTCGTAATATTGGTAGTTTAGTATTATATTTGTGGTAGCAAAATGCTACAACAGTTTTCCCTATCTTTACTACTAAGCCCTAAAATTAAAATTGTAAAATAGAAAAAAGTTAGCTAGTTGTTTAACAAAATTTTGTTTTTAGAATGAGTTTGACAGATTGAAGTCATGGACTGTTGGACTGTTTATTAGGGGCAGTTTTTGTTTTTTGTTTTTTTTGGTTTAGTAGTTCATGGAAGTTTACTTCTATGGCCTGAGTCCTAAATGGCCATTTTGCCCAATTCTTGTGGTTCACAGAAGTTGTTCACTAAACTCTTTCTGTGGCACATCTAATGAAGCTACTAATTTAGTCATGTCTATGTCTCTTTATGCATGTTACTAGTGTCTATGGCTAAACTGGAAATCTCTTGAAGATAAATACTATAACTTAAGACTTTTATGTAGCACAGTGCCCACCATGGTGCTGTACATGTCTATGCCCAGTTAGGCATAGAAATAACATAACTATGGATAGTGGCTTTTATATGCATGAAATAATTTTGTACAAGAAAAAACACTTAGGTAGGAAGGTTGGCTATGTTATTTGCAGGATAATAAAAGTTTGGGCATTGATGTATACCAAATCAGACAATTAAGTTTTAATAGATTCTGAACTGTTGTTCTCTGTCTTGGCATTGTAGTTCTGTAGATTTTAAAAGTGTTATCTTAAAGACATAGACTTTCAGTGTTAGAAATGTATTTGTTAACAGGAAAAGAAAGTATTTCACATAAACCAAGCAGAATTTTAGTTCTAGTGTAAACACATTAAATATGGACTTAAGATTTAAAAGTGATCCCAAGAATTCCCAGATTAAGACTTGTTTGAGCTGCAGTTTTTCAGGAGCACTTTGGCTCTAACATTGTGGAAATGAGAATATCTTCTTGATCTTTCTCTCCTTCTGCTACTTCCTCCTTCAATGAACTATTTGAAATATTTTTATCAAGAATTGTTTTGAGCTGGTCAGTTAGCTCACTTGGTTAGAACGTGGTGCTGGTAACACCAAGGTCAAGGGTAAAGGGTTTAGATCCTCTTACCAGCCAGCCACCCTAAAAAAAAAAGAAAAAAAAAAAAAAGAATTGTCTTGTCTTGACTTAAAGATCTGGGACATAGGAGGACAACCCCGATTCCGGAGCATGTGGGAACGGTATTGCAGGGGAGTCAACGCTATTGTGTAAGTTGTTTTTTTTTTTTCCTGTCTCTCTTTTTTTTAAATGTCAATTTAGGCTTCAAAGAAGAAAGTTGTTTTTAATACTTCCCAAATCTCGGTTTTTATCTCAGGCTATAAAAATCTTTCTTAGCTAATTTCTTAGTATAATTCCATTAACAAAAAATTATGACTTAAAGCTCTCATTCTGTGATTAATTGTTAATGTTTTTTGCTTACGCAGCTGAAAAGCTAAGGGATAGAAATGTTTTACTATCATGTATTATCTTGCAAGAACAGTCTAGTTAAAAGTATTCATGGTGCTGAGCTTTTCTTTATCTAGGACTTAATTTATTTTGATTAACAATTTCGATAATGTAAATTTTAAGAAAATCAAAAATGTTGTATAATCCTAGTTGTTATCATTAGTGCATGTAGAGAAGACATATTGAGATCACTTCATTTTTTTTTAAAGTTACATGATAGATGCTGCAGATCGTGAAAAGATAGAAGCCTCTCGAAATGAACTACATAATCTTCTAGATAAACCACAGTTACAAGGAATTCCAGTAAGTATGGAGTACTTGTTATTTTATATTTGTAATTATACAATTATATTCATTATATTGGAAATCAGTAAAATGTCTTTTTTAAAATTAATGTCTGGAAGGCTTATGTTTACTGAGTATCTGCCATTTACTGGGCATTGTGCTATTTATGAATTTCTTAACCAGGTATCTACTAAACTACTATGCAGCAGGAGCAGTGCTCAGTCCTGGGGACATGATAATGAGAAGTCAGTAGAAACATAATCTTTGCCATCATGGAGCTTTTGGTTTAGTGGGAAAGGTAGATGATCGAAGAACACTTGAATAATGCAGTTCTGTTAAATGCTATGAAGCAAGTGCAAGGGGCTATGAGAGTTGTAAGTTAGGAGGAAGATTTGGTCTAGTTTGGTGGAAGAACAAAAGATTACTGAGGAAGTGACACTTGAGCTGAGATCTGAGGGATGTGTAGGAACATGAAGGATGTGATGGTTGGAGGAGAAGAGAGTTCTCACCAGAGGCCCTTTGGTGAGTGGAAGCATGGCACTGAGAGGAGGCGAGTCTCTCTAGAATGCAGAGCAGAGTGGGGAGGGGAGGGTGGAGAGTGGCAGGCCGTGCAGCAGCTGGGACACTGGAGGAGGCTGTGCTGTGCAGGACTGTGTGGGAAGCCATTGAAGTGCTTCAGACGATCAGATTTATGATTTGAGTAGATCACTTGGATTACACAGTTTAAGAATGGATTGAAGTGGTCAAGAGGGACTGTGAGGAGGATGGTTTTAGGAAGCTATTTTAGTAGTTCTGGCAAATTACGGTACCTTGTATTAGGGTTGTGTCATAGACAAGATGGGGAGAAGGGAACAGATTTTAGAGATATTTAGGAGCATAGTCACCAGACTTGGTAATGGATTAGAAGGGGAGGTATACAGAATAATTCCTAGTTCCTTGCTTTTGCAGTTAGATGGAGGGTGGTGCTGTTTGTTGAGCTGAGGAATGCTGAAAAGCACCAGCCTTTAGCCTCATTGTAAGCTCATGGAAGTCAGATACTTGAGATATATTATCTCAATTAATCTTCACAACATTTTGAGGTTGGTGGTGTTATCCCTTCTTTATAGCAGTTGTTATACATAGAAGATCACATGGCCTTTAGTAAGTACACAGCCAGCCAGGTTTTGAATACATGTCTTTCTGACTTCAAAGCTTATTCTTTTTTTCTTTTTTTTTTTTTCCCTTTTTGTCTTTTTTCGTGACCAGCAACGGATCGCAACCCTCAGTGTCGTGCCCGTACCGGACCGGGACTGGCAACGGGATCGCAACCCTCGGTGTTGCTCCCGCACCTCGCTCAGCCAGTGAGCGGCCGGTCTGTATGTGGGATCCGAACCCTCGGCGGGAGTGCCACCGCACTTCCCAAGCGGCGCACTGTAGCAGTGTGCCACCGGGCCGGCCCAAAGCTTATTCTTTTTATTTTGTGTTAAAAACTAGTTCTGCATACCACAACTAAAAGTCAGTCTTATCTTGGTCACCATAAGCATTCTTGGTTGCAAGTGGTAGAAAGCTGATTTAAGTAGAAAGGAATTCATTGAAAAGATATTGGGTGGCTCACAGAGTCTCTGGGAAGGCTGCACATAAATAACCAGGCTGAGAAAATAGGCTAGAACAAGGGAAGCTAAGCAGCTGTCAGGATCACATCCAAACTCACACTACAGAATAGGTCTGGTGACCACATGCAGTTAATTTCTGAAGAGTAGGCACAATTGCTCTGGTTGGAGAAGTTCTAGCTGATGCGCCTCTACTGTCAGAATGGATTCTCTGTCCTTGTTTTCTTGCATCAGTTTGATCCTAGATTATGTGCCCATGCTGTATCTAAGAGGACAGCTGGGGAAGAAATTATCTACAGAAGTAAGTAGCTTTATTGAGAGGAAGTTGCATAAAGTGGAGGAAAGATGCCAGAAAACCACAAAACTGACAGCTGATCACAAATGACCATGTTACCTGATTAGAAACTGAGCCAGGTACAGCTTCAGAACCTGGAATGACTTAAATAAAGTATGGAGAGAGGTAAGAGTCAGGGAAGGGAACTGACAAAAGGTACTGAGACTTGGTTTTTGGCTCTCTGACTCCTGTAGTCTTATTTAACATTCCTCTGAGAACTCCTGGTGCCCTTGGCCGCCTGTGCCTCTGCCCTTGCTTCTTTGTCCTCTGTGCAAAATTGAAATAAGAGTCTAGGCCTGTGAGTGGTATTGGTCAGAATGTCCGGAATTGAGGTGGGAGAGGTATGAAGTGAAAGAAATAGGTATGACACGATGTGTACTTCATTAGAATAGATCAAAGATACAAATTCAGACTTAGGGTATGGATGCTGTGAAATAAGTTATATGTATTCATATTCTTTGCTTTCATAGAGAAAGAATATTGTATATGGGAAAGATAGAGTGGCAGTTGGGAAGGCTGTCTCTGCTTTGCCCCCTCCTCTCTGTTTTTTTTTTTTCAAAGTACATATAACCATCAGATGATGACATTTATTCCAGAGTTTATAGCTGCTATATTCATCCTGATGCGTTGGGAAGGCTGTCTCTGCTTTGCCCCCTCCTCTCTGTTTTTTTTTTTTCAAAGTATATATAACCATCAGATGATGACATTTATTCCAGAGTTTATAGCTGCTATATTCATCCTGATGCCTACCCTTATCCATTGTCTTAGAATATTTATAAATAATATTCTATAGGTGTATCCTGACTTTTAAAAGCTTATGTACACATTCACATGATTAATGGCTGACAGATAAAAAATGGTGCCCACCCTTGGTAGTTAAGATCATATTTGCATTTTGGTGACAGTTTATTAAGAAATAGCAGAATATGATGCTGGTAACACCAAGGTCACGGGTTCGGATCCCAGTCAGGCCCCCCCCCCCACCAGCTGCAAAAAGAAATAGCAGAATGCATAGCATAGACTTAGAATATTTTAAATAGAAGTTGGCACCACTCAGCCAGTTACAGCTTGAGAACCTGGAGTAACTTAAAGTGTGGAGAGAGGTCAGAGGAATTAAGGGTATCTACATGGTAGGAGTTAAGTGAATGCTAATGTGAATAATTAAATGAATGAGATAGGCAACTAGTTATACAAATATGCTTTAATATTATGGTTTGTGTTAACATCCTAATTTTAATGTCTTCATATATCAAGATGATACATGTGACATTTTCTTACATAAAAGTTTACTTTTAATATCTTCTTTTTAAAGGTGCTAGTACTTGGAAACAAGAGAGATCTTCCTAATGCCTTGGATGAGAAACAGCTAATTGAAAAAATGTATGTCTTCAGAATGAATGATATTGCTTTTAAAATTTGGTTCTAGATGATACTATTTTGCCCTCTGTTTTGTTTAGCAACATTTCATTCATAATTCAGTAATTATCATAGCCATGTTTTTAGGTAGATAAACTTGGCCTGCCAGAGAAGTGAATCCAAGTAAAACTGAACAATGTATGGCAGCTTTTCTAAACACAGACTTATTCTCTTAATTCTGCTTCTTATAGGAATCTGTCTGCTATTCAGGATAGAGAAATTTGCTGCTATTCAATTTCTTGCAAAGAAAAGGATAATATAGGTAAGAAATGACTGGCAGTTTTGAAAGAGATGCGTATAATTTGAAGGAATATTTAGTGCTTCTTGCTGTTTATAATCCCCATTTTTGTTTAAGTGACTTCCTTTACAGGGTACTATTGCTTTTTGCCTGAGAGAAAAGAGTAGACATTATGCCTTTTGGCAACACATATAACATTTTGAATCTTCTCTATGCTATTTAAAGAAGTAAATGCAATAAAGCTGTGAGGTTAAGCATTATGTGGTACCAACTTATTGTATTAATTTTTGCAGAGCTAGTATCCAGCTGTGCTTTTTAACAAAATAACTTTTTTTTTTTTTTTGTCTTTTGTCTTTTTCCGTGTCCGGCAACGGATCGCAACCCTCAGTGTTGCCCCCGTACCGGACCGGGGACCGGCAACGGGATCGCAACCCTCGGTGTTGCTCCCGCGCCTCGCTCAGCCAGTGAGCGGGAACCGGTCCGTATGTGGGATCCGAACCCTCGGGCGGGAGCGCCGCCGCGCTTCCCAAGCGGGGCACTATCCAGTGCGCTACCGGGCCGGCCCACAAAATAACATTTTTGAAATAAGTCTTTACAAAACTTGTACAGGCACTATAACAGTTTTTCATTTATTGAACTAGTATATTACTGTAATATGTTAGCACTCTTTTGGAAGTATAAGCCAAAAGTACCCTTATTTACTTAATGTCTGTATTTCTTAGAACTGCCACAACAAAGTACCATGAACTATGTGGCTTAAAACAGCAGAAACTTATTCTCTGAAGTTCAGGAGGCAAGAAATCCACAATCAGGGTGTCAGTATGGTCATGCTGAAGGCTCTAGGGGAAGATCCTCTCTTGCCTTTCTAGCTTGAGATGCTTACCAGCAATCCTTGGAGTTCCTTGGGTTGTAGATGAACCTCTCCAATCTCTGCCTCACAATCATACTTCACATGGCTTTCTCGCCTGGTGTGTTTCTGTGTGAGTGTATTATTTTCTTATAAGGACGCAAGTCATGAATTTTTAGGACACCATTCAGTCTAGCACAGTATCCTTAAAGAATATGTATGACTTCAACTAATTTGGTGAGGTATTATTTAACAAACAGAAGTGTATTGGAATAAAATGTAATAAATCATACCAAACTAGTATATTGGGGGGAAAAACAAACGAACATAAAAAGTATTTTGACATTTTTTTCTTTGGCCTTCATTCATTATGCATTGGTTCTCATCATACTTAACTTTTTTTCAAGTTAGTTTCAGTCTGTCCTCTTGTACCTCACTCCCCTGACCTCCCCCGCAAACATGCTCTAATGAGCTCAAAGTGTTGATAGTCGTTCTGGCTGATTCTGGGCTTCCTTTAAAGACCACCCAAAGCAGTCTGAACCCTAGTAATTCAGCTGATGGACACAAATTTTCCTTTATTAAACGGATAGAATAAGTGACTTTTTACATCGGGAGCATTCATTTAATTTAACAACAGACTCTTCAAGCACTTATTAGACTTATTTAGACTTTATTTTAAAAAAATTTTTTTTTTTCTTTTAAGATGACCAGTAAGGGGATCTTAACCCTTGACTTGGTGTTGTCAGCACCACGCTCTCCAAGCAAGCAAACTGGCCATCCCTATACAGGGATCCAAACCCGTGGCCTTGGTGCTATCAGCACCACACTCTCCCAAGTGAGCCACAGGCTGGCCCTAAAAAAAATTTTTTTTTAATGTGAGGAAAATTCTTGTTCAATTTTAACAAATGCCCCCATGAGAGCATTTACTTTTATACCAGTGGTTCTGGTATAAAGTAACCATTGGTACTAGTGGTTCTCAATGGGAAGTTTTTCCCCCAGGAGACATTTGACAATGTCTGGAGACATTTTTGATTGTCATAACTAGGAGAGTGATACTGGCATCTCATGGGTAGAGACCAGAGATGTTGCTAAACATCCCACAGCCCCCATAACAAAGAATTATCCAGCATAAAATGTAGCAAGGTTGAGAAACCATATTCTGCACTATCATAATTTTTAGTAAATTGTGCTAGTCTATAAATTATTATATTTTCTCTCGTATTTCCTAAAATGGAGGGGGGAGGGGGGCTGAAGGTAGTAAAAAATCCTTTGTTTTACCACTGTCACAAACCAGCCAGTTATTTTCCTGAAAAAAAAACTCTCGAACTCATTTATGCAGGAAATGCAGTAAAGCTGGTGAGAACTTCTTTTGCTGTTCGAGGCTGATCCTCGTGCTTTGTGGCCACCTGATTTGTAATTTTAGCATTCCTCGTTCATTTAAAGTGTTAAGCCTAGGTGAATCCACTCTAATTAAATTCAAAACAAGTAGTTTTTAAATCAAAATGCCTATTTATTTCAGAGCAAGAAATATAAATGACAACCAAGTGGATTAAACTTTTTAGGTAATCAACTCAGAATACCCTCCTTGATTTTAGCTTTTATCACGTTTTATGCCAAATTTATGAATTTATGAAGTTGCTCCAAAAAGTATTTCAGTGCACATGGGTTGTATATTATCCTTGCAGTTTTCTAATGTGGTACATGACGTACCTTAATTTCATTAGTAACATCCTCAAATCACACGTACAACAGATGACTTCTAGGAAGATGATCTTTGCAAAGGTTGTTCCATATCTATGATCTTCTTGTCATGGAAGGTGACTCCTTCTTCATCTGAGTATCTTATTTCTATTCAGCCTTTTTCTCTAGTCTTAAGGATCCATCTGTCTTCAGGATATGACCTCTGTTCATTGTCCACAGAGGGTTTTCCTTTGTGTTTTAGTGAGTTTCCTAAATATTTAAACTTAGATTAACTTCAGATTTACCTTTTTCTCATTCAGTTCAAATGAGTGTGGCTTTGTGTTTATTACACACTGCCGTTTCTGTTTTGAGTGCAAAAGACCACTTCAGCATTTGGTTAAATCATTGTTTCCACAACTGTGAACAGGTTGTATTTGTTCATATCTCAGCTCTTAGCTGTTTTTTATATATGTGTGGCTTAGAGTTTCTCTCATGCATGTTAGTTGGGAAACTGGAAGACTGGATTTACACATTTTTCCTGCTTGGAGAATAGAGTGCGGCTTTTAATAGATTCTCACATACCCTTTTTGTGGATAACACATTTTAAAGAACTCAGGATAATAATTCAGTGTTCTTACTTAGCTGTCTTCTCAGTCTGTGCACTTTTCTTGGTTAGTCTCAGCTGCGATAGCTTCACCTGCCACCTATAAGATGATATCTTGTCACTTGTCATCTCTTAGATCCACATAGCTAAAACTGCCTGTGAACATCTTCATATGTGTTAACCAGACTTAGCTGTCTTCTCAGTCTGTGCACTTTTCTTGGTTAGTCTCAGCTGCGATAGCTTCACCTGCCACCTATAAGATGATATCTTGTCAGTTGTCATCTCTTAGATCCACATAGCTAAAACTGCCTGTGAACATCTTCATATGTGTTAACCACTGCCCCTCAAACTTATGTGTACACCTGAATTTTTAATCTTTTCAACTCAATGATGTTCTCCTTTAGCCACTGTTTTAGTTAGCAGCTCCATGACTCACACACTCATTCAGGCCAGAAGATACTTTCTTACCCACTACATGTGCTCAGCCACCAAGTCCTATCAGTTCTACATCTTCGTCATGTTTACTCCTCTCCAACCCCACGGCGCCTTTGTCCCTTTCCTACTCCTGTTGTGATAGTTAGTCCCCACATTGGTAACCCTCCAAGTTATCCTCCTCTGTTGCCACTGCTAGCTTACAAAAGTAAACTAATATGATTTCCTTGCTGAAAATTCTGCAGTAACTTTCTATTGACTTGAGAAAAAAACCCAAACTTCTTAGCACCTAAGAATTACATACAAAGGTATCTGGCTCCCTGGAGCCCAGTGGTTCTCAACTGCAGACAGTTTTGCTTCCCAGGGGACATTTCACAATGTCTGGAGACAGTTTTCGTTGTCACAACTGGAGGTTTTGGTGATAATGGTATCTGCTGGTTAAGGCCTTGGATTCTGCAAAACATCTAAGGTGCACAGGAAAGGCCTTTCCCCCTGCGTAGGAAAGAATCATCTAGCCCCACATGTCAAAAGGGCGAGGTTGTGAACCCTGCTATCCTTGGCAGTGAATGACAATATTCTTCCCCGTCCCAATGCTTCACTGCATCACATACAGTCCATCCAGAGCTTCACACAGTTTCATGCCTTTTTTGTTCTTTTGCTATTTCTTTTGCCTTCCATTCTGTAGGGCGCTTTCCCAAACCCAAATGATTACTTGTCTTTTCTGCCTGTTATACTCAAAAGTTCCTTGAGGACTGCGAGGGGTTCTCCCAACTCTTTGCATTCTTGGCAACTTGTATGCAGTACCTGATCTTATAGGTGATGCATAAAAAATGGCACCAGCTGTCCTGTGCACAATTTAATTTTAAATCAGAAGAATCTTTAGTCTCTGATAATTCCTCCTATTACCCTCTTGAAGCTCAGGTAATAGAGTAGTACAGATGCTGAAGGCAGATAGGACAGGCCCAGCATGTGCCTTGAATTACTTGTACTTTAAATACTGTCTCTGATGTTTAGTTTTTTAACTTTGGTATCTTAACATCTTCACTTTTTTCCTCCTTATCTTTAGATATCACACTTCAGTGGCTTATTCAACATTCAAAATCTAGAAGAAGCTGAAGCATCTCCTGACGTCTTCCAGTCCTTCTTGGCTATAATCCTAGAATTATTGTCTGTTCCTCTGAAGTACTCCCCAGAATACAGTCCTTCCTAAACCCAAGAAATTGCCTTTTTCAGAGTTTATTTCTCATGTGCACTGCTGAAGATGTGTATCCCTAATCCTTCATAAAGAATCAGCTAGAGTTGTCATGATAAAGTCAGCACACACAGAAAGGCTTCTTACACATACTTGTCTTAAACCGTGTAGAGCTTTTTTAAAAAAACACCACTTTTGACCATCTGAAATTTAAAAAATTGCATATTTTTGTTCTGGTCATTCTGGGCCAGATTTTTATATTCGTTTTGGTAAATGTCTATAGTATTTCATTACATAGTCCAGTAGCTTAATACTGATACTGACTTGATACAGCATGAAGTTTCTAGTGCCACACACAGTATTTAGAAAACCTTTAAGCCTGACTCATGTGGGATATATTTTATCTCACAAATGCATGTGAAATGTATAATTACACCTTAGAAATTAAAGAATGGTCTGCAGAGAGTGAGTAGAGGCACCAGATCAATGTTGTTGGTTCTTTACACCAGTGAGATCCTATCTAATGAATTTTAGAAACATTCTGCTTTCTGAGCATTCTTTATCACCAGATAGCAGTTGGGGATATGGGAGTAACTAAAGCATGCTGTTTTGTATCCAGATCGTTACTTTTTTTTTCCCCTGGTTTGACATACTTTTTTAAGGGGTAGGGAATTGAAGATTTTCTCAAAAGCTTTCATTAAATTAGAGCATTCCAGCCAATATAATAAAACCTGTTAAGACTGTCAGACTTTGTTCAAACACCTGTTTGTTCTTTCTGTTTCCAGTCATTAAATCAGTGCTGCATGACACTCTAACTCTTAACTTTTTATATCCAGTCATAAAGTTGACTTTCAGCACAAAGATACTTATAAACAAATACAAAGTCTTATTTTTCTCTCTTATTGATGTAAGGTTTGGCACTCTTTTGTCTGGTGCCATTAGACACCTTGATTATTGTGACAACTCTAGACCTGCCTGCTTTATCTAATGTAATCATGTGCAATGTCTACAGGTTGTTTAATAATCACACAGAGAACTGAGGAACTGATGCAGTTTATTGTTTGCTTCTATGATACAGAGATGTATAAAAACTGAAAATGAACATGTTTTGTAGTTTAATGATCTCCATATACATAAAGGGACATATTAATACTGGTTCATTTGTAAATTATTATACATGTAGACCACTGTAGTAGATAAAACTGTATGGTACATACACCTGCTTATGTGTTGCCTCACACTGTGTGTGATTTTGTTTCTTTTGTTAAGCAGCACTTACGTAGACAGTGCATTTCCAAACATGTTGAGCATTCAGAGTGTAGTCAACAGTAAGTTCTTTTAATGAATACCAGTTTTAATTTATAGACTGCCATGGCCTTAAAAATATTCTGTACAAAATACTGCACTGTGTTGCACAGACACTACTTGTTTTTCTCCATTCACATCTTTATGAGTAGAATCTGGGCTTTTAAAGTTCTTTTCTTATTCTTTGAAGCATGTTGCATACTTCCCTGATGGGATGTATGGTTCTGTAATGTAAACGGGGTATTTAAATTTGCTTCTGTATTTTAACACCATTAATGGCCACTGTGAACTGTTAGAAGGAATGTGGCAACTTGCTTGTGCCTAAAAAGAGGAATCAGATCCAAACTAGAATGTGTAACTATGTGGAGACTGCATAGGTTTGTTCACTGACCTATAGCTAAACTCTAATGTGCTTGTGTGTCTGTTCATTGCTTTCAGCATTTTTCAAGACTTCCAAATGCTACTACAAACATTTTCCTGTGCATTAACCTCTGCATGTGAAATCTTAACAGTTACTGAACTCTGTAAATACATGACTTTTTTTATTTAGGTGTATGCATTTTTCGTCTGTTTACTGCTCTTCTCAGCTTTATTCAATAAACTTGCATTTTGAGGGTTTGTATTGGCAGTTTTAACTTAAAATGTGCATCATGATGGGAGGTGCAGACTTTTTTGGAAGGGGGTGAAAAGAAAGGTACTATGAGTTGGGTACATAGACCATATGCTAGAAAGAAATCAGCTCAGCCCTCAAAGAATTGGGTATGTGGGCTAGTTAAAATAGAAATAAACTTTAAAAATATCCACAGAATTGATATTGTGACTTTTTTGGGGGGGGGGATGGGCAGGAAGAAGATGCCGCAACTTATAAAAACTCTTATGACACACCAAATTTGCACAGAATTGATATTGTGACTTTTTTTTGGGGGGGATGGGCAGGAAGAAGATGCCGCAACTTATAAAAACTCTTATGACACACCAAATTTAGTACTTTAAGTGCAAGAGCTAGTAAAGCATTTTATAATCCAGTTTTAAAAGTCAGACCAAAACCATACTAATAAGGTGAAATTGCAAGACATACCTACTTACTGACTTCAGTTCAGAATAAAAATATTTTAAATACCAAACACACTGGTTTTCGCACAAAGGCACATTTAGAGTAAAGCATTTGGCCCACTTTTGCTAGTATGTTATCTTCTGCACTAATAGTTAAGTTTATCTCATCAAAGCTATTGGAGAAATGATTTTATATATTTTACTCAGAAAAGTTTAGTTGGCTTTCTCTACATATCAATACTGTCATTCTGTACAGCCAACCCTGATGGACTAACTCGATGTGTGACTTAGCATTTCTGTCCCTAAGATATCACATTTCAATTCTTTTACTGAATCGAAGCCATTTTGTCAATCAGTCTGTTTGGTTACTGTCTTACCACTCTCCTACCAAAGGAGTGTGTGTGAGTGGGGGGCAGGGAGGGGAGCATTGAGTATATTTAGCTTAATTCTTGTTTTTATTTAATTCTTGTTTTAATTTTAAGTTTGTATCTGCTTTCAAAAATCGTGACTTCTAAAATAAGTCCCTTTGAGTCTCTCAAGTAAATTGGATGTTTTGGACCATTACAGTGTTTTTTGACGAACTAAATGCCTTGTCTGTTTTATCCATCTAGGACTGAGTTACACGGAAATGCTGTTGATCTCGTAATTACAACCTCTCAAAGGGTCTGGCAGGTTGAGAACTGGAGTGGAAGCTTAAATGTAATATAGCAGGCACCATGCTGTAACATCCAATTGGCCAAATGCTTCACTCTAAAAATGTAAACAAACCACCATGTTTGCTTAAAATATTTTCATTTTGTTGCAAATCTGTGAGGTCATGTCCTCAATAACACGCTAGTGAAGAGACTTGAAAAGGAAGACAGTAAAGCAGACAGTAGACTTATGGACTTAAGTTTGCTTTTCTGTGAGTGTGTGGCCCATTGCAGGTGTTTCCTGTTGGTAAATATCCCCCACACAAAGTTCTGTTTAAAATTCAGCTATTAATATAAATATGTTCTCGTCATTGCTGCCTCTTGGGTGTTCTTAGGGAAACAGAAGCAAGTTATTGACATGTTAGATGGACTGCAATGGGAAATTTCTTAACCTAAGAAACAGCAGTAGTCATTCATTATTTCCATTTCATTAATAAGCCTCCTCTTCAGTAAGATAATTCTGTTTTAAAATCCCAAGGCAGCAGGCACTTAGGTAATGCAGATTTCCTGGGAGGAATCAGGAAGGGGAAAAGATACCTTAGCCTCATTGTACAGGGGCTTGCAGGTCTTGCATTCATAAAAGGGATGTAGGCAAAGAATTGTCAGTTAAAAATGCTAATGTAGCTTGGTTCAGGATTGGCATTTGGGAGAATGTATTCTTTTCTTTGTGTTAACTGATTTTTTGTCCGTGGTGAATTGCTGAATGCCCTGTGTCGCCTTAGTTTTCCCATCCGTAAAATGAAGAAAGGATTTCTAACATGATTTCTCCCACTAACATGCTGATTCTAGCAGCCTAGAGATTTGATTGGTTTTGAAACAAAGCAGAGAAGAGATGAAAATGCCCACTTGTCTTAGTAAATATGTTCATATTGCATGGTCCTTCCACTTGGGAATAATCCAAAAATGCAGAAACATGTACATTTTATAACTTTAAAATTTAAAACAGTTAATGGCTGGAGATAGGCATTTTACAGAATGATGAAATAACTTACATTTTGCTTGAAGGAAATGCTGTAAACATACAGGTTTATATTTTGAAAGGATTTGCAAGTTTTAGAGTTTATTTTTCCCAGATTGCAGAAGAACGTTTACTATGGTGTACACTGTGGAAAAATATGTACCTTCTGCCAGTTTGAGGGTAAATGGTTTAGAGCTAATGTTTAACACTTTTTAACTGCTGTGTTGCTAGTTTCTACTAGAATTTATTTAGAGCTTTGGAGAAACCTGGTACGGTTAGAAAATACTTCTTTTCAAAGTAATTGGATGGGTGGGTTGGGTAGCAAAACCATAGTGTGCCTTTTGAACATGGGAAGTGTAGGATAGTAACCGATTGCTGATTATAGTATCTCCCCCAACCAGTTTTTTATATCATCTACAAGTTTGGCCTGCCCTCAGTGTTGTAGTCTGTATCTCACTATGTGCTATCTTGTTAATATATTTTAAGAGGATCCATCATTTCTATCTACTGTTACCCAATACATGAATTGGATAACTCTTTTTTCTATTGTATCTTTTATTCTGTAAGGAAAAATTCAAATTGCTATTATTTGTCATGCCACTAGCTAATTTATGAAAGTACTACCCCTCCTCACCATTCAAAGAAGGGTTAAGAGGCTGGCCGATTAGCTCAGCTGGTTACAGCACAGTGTTACACCACCAAGGTCAAGGGTTCAAATCCCTGTATCCCTGTACCCGCCAGCTTCATGAACAGACAAAAAAACCCCCAAAACAAAGAAGCGTTAAGAGTTTATATGATTCCTACTTTCTCTGGAAGCATCAATATGTAAAGGCTGTTCTGTGATGCATTCATGGTGAGTATTAGTTCCTGATGGATAGTTGCTGCATTTGGTTCAGTGGTTTAGTATTTAGAACAAGTGGAAGGGAATCTCACTTTTTTCCCAAGTTCCATTTTTTGAATAAGTTAATTTTTAATAGGTAAGTCACATGATTAAAAGATTTGAAAATACATAAAAAGACTGTCTTGATCCCACCCATTTCTGAGTAACCACCCCTCCATGCCTGGCCTTTACAGGTAACCCTCATATCAGTTTCTTATTTATCTTTCTAATATTTTCTTTATACAAAATAAAAAAAAGTAAATATGCATTTAAAAAAAAAATCACTTTCTTACATAAAGGTAGTATACTGATTCGAACATGGCTTTTCTTCACTTACTATGTCCTGGTGATCTTTCCATGTCTATGTATTGAGTTCCTCACTGTCTTTCATAGCACCATGGTTCCCATTTTATTGTGTGGTTTTCATTGTGCCAGGATTCCATCAATATGGGTTGTTTATAACCTTTTGCTTTTATAAATAGTACTGCAATGAGTCATTTTGTACATGTGTAGCAATTCACAGAAGCATATCAAAGGGTAAATGCATTTGTACTTACACTAGGAATTGCCAAATTGCCCTTCATAAGGGGTGTACCAGTTTTTATTTCTACTAATCTCTTTCCCCTGTCTTTTGTTAACAGCTTGTCCACATACTTTTGGATTTCCACCCATCAAATAGTTTGGAACTATAATTATATACTACTCAATTTTGAACCAAATGTGAAATTTAGCTCTTACAGAGCTGGGGAAACAATATTAACTGTATTCTGCAATTGGATCTTCCCCAGATTAGTTACAGGTAATTCCCTCCCTCCTTTTGTTTTGCTTAAGTTTATTCCCCCCATTCTTCATATAGCAAGTATACGTTGCTTCAGGAAAAAAGTAATAATCAGAGTTTTCAAAGTCTCATTACATCACTTGATTTTTTTTTTACATTATTGTATTGCTTTAGACACTATATCATTTATCGCTTCTTAAGAGTAGAAAAATCCCTCCTTTTGACAGACTATTTTAACCCAAGTATTTAACATAGGAAGCTCTGGGACTATACTTTGAGGTCATCATCGGGCCAGAATCCTCTTCTAGCTTTGCAGTTTTAGGAACCTCATGCATTGATTCATGTACTCAGACTCACAAGACTTGATTCCAAAAAACGGAATCAGCCTATTTATAATGGAGCATATTTTTAAAGGCATTGAAGTACTTGTTAGCCAGGTCACTTCCTTCCACGTACAAAAGTAAGGAGATTAAATCTGGACTACCTTGTGTGATGTAACCCCAAATCACAGATTTAGGACCATGATGTGTAGAAGCTGCACAGTTAAAACAACTTGAGCTGGATGAGTTAAACAGAAATCGAATTAGACTTGAGGACTCAAGACTTTTTTTCAGCTGTTCTTGGACTGGGGAGTTTTATCCCTTGTCCTGTTTTATAATGTTTCCTGAGACATGTTTTTCTCCTAAAATAGTGCTTTGAATATTAGAGGGGCTTAGCTTTTTAATTCATCCAGTGGTTCTCAGGTTATATGTACCAGACACTTTTACATAGTTGCTGTGTTATATAAGGTACACAGAGTTGAAGAGCATTAATAATAGGGCTCACTACATATCTAACACTGTTGTAGGTACATTTTATACATATGCTTAATTCTCACAACTGTTGTAAGTTCTGTTCTTACCACTCTCCCATTTTATAGTTAAGAAAACAGGTCCAGAAAAGTTAAGTAACTTCCCAAGGTCACTCAGAGGGCAGAGCTACAGTTTGAACACCTGGCCATTCCTGACAATCAGACTTCTGAGTCTGGGTTCTTAGCTATCATCTCTTTGGCGTTCCCATGATAAAACAATTTCTACAATGAAATTGCCTCCTTTTTTATCAGTCCCCTGATGCTTTTGTGAGATTATGTGCAAAAAAACCTATCACAAATCAAACTATGATAGCTACTTTTACTTTGTGGGGAGTCCTAGTCTAAAGGGCTAGTCACAAGATAATTCATTTTCTTTCAGTTCAATTTAATTGCAGAAAGAAACACTATATGAACCTAGCCCCTAAATCCAAGGCTGTGAATTGCAGGACACTAATCTCAGCATTGTTGCCCCTGGGGTGGCTTGGGAAGAGTAGAAGGACTGTATTTCTCTGCTTGAGGGCCAGCTATTTGTAATGTGAATAATTGCCCTGGACTAAAAGTGTGGGAGACCTGAGTAGAAGCTTGCTTTCTTTCTTACCTTTTTTTCGGTGGCTGGCCAGTACAGGGATCCAGGGATCCCCTTGACCTTGGTGATTTTTTCTGCCTAGAGCCAGCAAGCTCTGAGAATTGAGCGCCCAATCTGATTTTTTCTGTATGGTTTGCAGAGTACACCTTGCAATGTTTTCCGTGAAAATTAAATGAGGACACATGCAAAAGTGTTTTGAAAATCCTAGGACCTATACTACTGGCAGCTATTGTCAGTTTTACAAAAAAAAAAAAAAGCGTCTTCCAAAAGTTGGATGGTTTTCTCTGGTTATTAGAAGAGATTTATTTTTATTAAAGTTTTTTTCTAATGTGAGGACAAGAGCTGTCATCAATGTGGTCTACAGTTGACTATAGTGGGAGATCAAGTTTAAGTTAATATTTGCAATAAGGTAACTTAGGAAGGAAACATACAGCATGCAACTTAATATTCACATTCAGTTTGCAAGTTCCAGGAAGGCAAAACCTAAACTCAGGATCAAGGGCTGGAGGTGGGCTTCCAGCAGGGTCCGTAGGTGTCCTTCACAGAGGGGGAAAGAGCAGAAACTGTGTAATCAGAAGATCCTGGCTCAAGCTCTTTGTGCTCTTGTTACTGCTTGGGCCTACCTTTCTCTCACAATTTTGGGGAGGAACAAGGCTCTGCCAACAAAAAGGACCTTACTATGTGCCAAATACCATGTGTTATAATCAAATGTTTCTTCTGAGTCCCCATCACCCCTTTGTATTGCAGAAAGTCCCCTGACCCTGAAAATGTGATGAGAGTGCCATATGACAACTTATCCTCTTAATCACTCCCTTGGTCACTCAGCCAACCTCTGATTTTGGGGTCCAGACATGCTTTGCTTGCCAAGCTTTCCAGGAACCCTGGTAAAACATGCACATGGTCTAAACTTAGGGAAGGCAAAGCTTACTGGCATTTTCAAATGCAGCAAACAAAAAACAGAAACCCTAAACACTAAACCTGAACGCAGCCCTTCACAACTGAAATTTGCAACCTTCTTAATTATCATAGGACGTAGATACGGAAGGGTAAAGTGATTTGACTGGAATCTATCCCACACCTTAAAGTTTAGGTCCCTGCTGCGGTTCACAGGAGACTTGATGGGAGTGGAAAGGGCAGGAGAGGACGTGTTTAAATAGATCCAGTAAAAAGTAATTTGGTGGTGGTGGCTGCTTTGAGTTCTACCCCAACCCCTTTTTGATAAAGATCTTATTTCTGAGACAAAGGCAATATAACATAACTCAGTATTTCCTGAAATTGTCAGGCCCACGAACACTTGTTATACACACATTTCCGGGACCCTCCGTTGGAGTTTGATAAGTCTAGGATGGGATCTGGGAATACTGTTTTTTTACAAGTACTGTAAGCAATTCTTACAAGTTGGGGTGTTCTATGAAAAGAGAAGAATTCGGAATATCGTTTTGTAAAGTCCTTGAGGTAAGAGGTAGTATACCTACCCCATCACAGAAAGACAAGTTAAAAACCTTGCCCTCGATATGCAAAAGTAGATCCTTTTATGCAGAAATGTTCTTTTCCTTCCTCTTTTCCTATATGCATTTTAACTGCCACCACCCCTAACCTAGACTTGGAGTGACTTTTTCCTGTCCCAGCTCGGCCAGACGGACGCTCGGCCCAAAGAGAGATACGGTCTACCCAGGGCCGGGCGGGGTCAGGGGCCACGTCTGTCTCGCATCCGTCGGGCGCTCTCGTGTCGCGCTCGCATTGGCTGGAAGTTCCCTCGCCCGGGGCCCGACCGGTCCATACTCGCCACGCCAGCAGGTGCGGGCTCCCGACCGCCCAGGGGGCGGGGCCCGGGGACGGGGCGGGGCCAGAGGCCGGGGCGGTCCCGAGGCCAGGGCGGGTC